GTGAAGAAGAGATCTCCTCTAATGGTTTATCTGATAATAGAGGATTGTTTTTTCCTTTGGTGATTTAACCGTTAAGAGAACCCTTCTTGAAACAGATTTGTGTGAAGCAAGTATATTTATACTTGTTTCTTCTTGTAGTTTTTCAATGTGGGACAATCTCGTGGCTTATATTACCGAACTTAGAATCAGTGAATATGAGCGTAAGAGTTAGGTTTGCCGAGCCGGATACTTAGGGTCCAAGGCGAATAACTTACTCCCTGGTGCCGAGCCTGAGGGGAGGTTGGTTTGCCGAGCAGGACACTTAGGGTCCGAAGCGAATGAATTACTCCCCTGCGCTGAGCCTAAGGGGAGGTTTGCCGAGCCGGACGCTTAAGGTCCGAGGTGAATAAATTACTCCCCGGCGCTGAGCTTGAGGGGAGGTTGGTTTACCGAGCCGGACACTTAGGGTCCAAGGCGAATATATTACTCCCCGACGCTGAGCCTGAGGGGAGGTTTGCCGAGCCGGACATTTAGGGTCCGAGGCGAATAAATTACTCCCCGACGCTGAGCCTGAGGGGAGGTTTGCCGAGCCGAACGCTTAGGGTCCGAGGTGAATAAATTACTCCCCGGCGCTGAGCCTAAGGGGAGGTTTGCCAAGTCGGACACTTAGGGTCCGAGGCGAATAAATTACTCCTCGGCGCTGAGCCTGAGGGGAGGTTTGCCGAGCCGGACGCTTAGGGTCCGAGGCGAATAAATTACTCCCCGGCGCTGAGCCTGAGGGGAGGTTGGTTTGCCGAGCTAGACACTTAGGGTCCGAGGCGAATAAATTACTCCCCGGCACTGAGCCTGAGGGGAGGTTGGTTTGCCGAGCCGGACACTTAGGGTTCGAGGTGAATAAATTACTCCTCGGCGCTAAGCCTGAGGGGAGGCTTGCCGATCTAGACGCTTAGGGTCCGAGGCGAATAAATTACTCCCCGGCGCTGAGCCTAAGGGGAGGTTTGTTTATATTTTTTCTCAAACAACTTATCGTGAAGCCGAGGATTCAAAAATGATAAGAGGCCAAGAAAGCGAGTAACAGTGGCTGTGAAGTTTCCTATTTGTTGACTTTGGAGACTTTCCTCCTTCATTGATACTCCCTTCTTGGCAACCAAATGTAGTGGACTACGCATATACTAATCGCATTTCTTTTCTATTTCTATCCGATGTGGGACATAGACTAAATTTTGTCAAAAAGGTCGGTGTAAGGAATGCCTCTGGTATTGAGCTTGACAGCCTTAAATACCAGTGGGCCCTCCCTACACCGCAATTAACTATTTGAATATTCCCATATATAACAGAATGTAGCACATACTTTTTTGTCGATGTGGGATAGAAAGTTTTAAACATAGGCCATAACTCATGTTTTTTTTTTTTTTTCTTAAAAATCATTGTGACGAATGTTTTTTTTACAGCTTGCTTCTAACATTGCTTTGCATAAAAATTGCATAGTGCGAATTGGCATGCATAAAAATTGTATAATCATAGAGTAGTATGAAAATATCTCTGCATAAAAATTGCATAATGCGACGCATGCATAAAAGTTGCAAAATCATAGAGTAGTATGGCCCCCATTTTTATGGAAAGAAATAAATAGAGTAGAATTGTACTGAATATGGTAGAAGTAAAATAAAGAAAAGTTTGGTTTACTGTGGACATACTCAGCCTTATTTGTGAAGAATTTGTAGCAAAATTGACAAACTTATCTAATGGAAATACCTTTTAAGGTGTATTGCGTTCCAAGGACGCGCAATAGGGCGTCTGTCAGCTTCGGCCAAACGATATGCTCCTTTCCCCACTACTTTGGTAACCTTGTAGGGTCCGGTCCAATTAGGTTCCAGTTTCTTTACATGAGCTATTTCTTGCTTCAAAACCCAGTCGCCTACCACAAAGCTCCTGAATCTGACGCGTTTGTTATAACTGTTGCGCAGCTGTTGCTGATATGAAGCAAGCCTAATTGCTGCAGCATCCCTTTTTTCATCCAGGAGATCGAGACTATGTTCGAGCTGCTGACTATTGTTTCCTTCAAGCAATAAGAATGTCTGAAGGGTCGGAACTGCCGCTTCGGTTGGGATCACAGCTTCAGATCCATAAGCCATGGCTAAGGGACTCTCTCCCATAGGCCGTCGCGGTGTGGTTCGGTACGCCCAAAGCACCTAAGGGAGATTCTCGTACCATTTCATTTTGAGTTTCTCCAATTTCTTCTTTAAACAACTGAAAATTGTCCGATTAGTTATTTCAGCCTGTCCATTCCTTTGTGGATGACTAACCGTAGCTAACTTTTGTACAATTCCATGCTTAGTAAAGAATTTTCTTGTACTTCTATTATCGAGGTTCTTACCATTGTCCATCATAATGACTTTTGGGACCCCAAACCGGCAAATGATGTTGTTCCAAAGGAAACTTTTTACCTGCTCATGGGTTACACTTGAGTAGGCCTCAGCTTCTACCCATTTAGTGAAATAATCTGTAGCCAGTAGCACGTACTCCTTTTGCTCCACAGTTTTGGGTAACGGGCCCACCACATCAATCCCCCATTGTGCAAATGGCCATGGATTTGCCATTGCGTGTTTATCTTCGGCAGGCTGATGCTTTATAGGACCGTGACGTTGACATTTGTCACACCTTTGTGTATACTCTTCTGCATTCCGGCACAAGTACGGCCAGAAGTAACCTTGAGTCAGGACTTTATGCGCGAGGGATCTGCCCCCGTCATGGTTACCACAATCTCCGTCATGGATTTGTCTCAACACCACAAGAGCCTCAGTAGGGCTTAAACATTTCAGGTAAGGACCTGAAAATGACTTTCGGTATAACTGATTGTTAATGATGGCATATTTAGCTGCGGTGATACGGAGCTTCCGTGCTTCGGACTTCTAGTCTGGAAGAACCCCATGCTTGAGGTAAGCTTCCAATGGATCAATCCAGCATGGTTCTCGAGGAATAACTGGAACTACCATTACTTCATGCGGAGGATTAATGCTGGGCTCGTCCAGAACGTCAATCGGCACAATCCGAATCAGATCCTCATTTGAAGATGACACTGATGTGGCCAATTGATCTGCTTCGGCATTCTCAACACGAGGTACCTGGAGACTACTAGCCAACCGAAGACCAGCGAGTAATGCCTCATATTCGGCCTCATTGTTCGTAGCTGGGAACTTCAAACAGATAGATTGTTGCAGCTTGGTGCCTTCGGGAGTTGACATTACAACACCTACTCCTGCACTTGCTTGATTCGAGGAACCATCGACTCGAAGATCCCACTGTGGTTCTGGGTGTGCCGGCTCTTCGGGAGTATCTTCATACTCGAGAAGGAAATCCGCTACGGCTTATCCTTTATGCGACACCTTTGGCTCATACATTATGTCGAATGAACTAAGCTCGATAGCCCACTTGGTAATTCTCCCAGATAAATCAGGCTTAGAGAGTATACCCCGTATAGGATAGTTGGTGAGTACCACAATGCTATAAGATTCAAAATAATGCCGAAGCTTCCTCTTGGCGTAAATCAAAGCTAAGATAACTTTTTCTGCTTTACTATATCGCGTCTCTGCATCTGTCATGGTCTTACTTGTATAGAAGATTGGATATTGCCTCTTTCCTTCATTTCTAATCAATGCTGCACTTGTCGATGTATTAGAAATCGCCACGTACATAATAAGAACCTCCCCGGGTTTTGGAGCGGATAGAATGGGTGGTTCAGCCATGTAACCTTTCAACCGACTAAGGGCCTCCTGTTGCTGAGGTCCCCATATATCTTTATTCTTGGATCGTATAGCGTCGAAGAATGGTTTGCACTTATCTGACAATCGGGATATAAACCGGCTGAGTGCTGCGATCCGACCAGTAAGTACTTGCACCTCCTTGCGATTTTTTGGTTCCTGATTCTGGATGAGGGCTTTAGCCTGAGCCGGACTTACCTCTATCCCTCTTTTATTCACTATGTGGCCGAGGAATTGACCTGATGATACCGCGAAGGAGCACTTAGATGGATTCAACTTCATGTTGTACTTCTTCAAAGTATTGAAAACTTCCTGTAGATGCTTCGGATGATCTTCTTTTTTCACACTTTTAACCACCATGTCATCTATATATGCTTCAACTGTCTTTCCCAGCAGATTGTCGAATATCTTGTTGACAAGGCGTTGATAAGTAGCTCCAGCATTCTTCAGTCCGAAGGGCATGACCCTGTAACAATAAGTCCCCTTTTCTGTAATAAAAGCCGTTTTTTCTTCATCTTCGGGGTCCATAGGAATCTGATTATATCCCAAGTATGCATCTAGGAATGTCAACCTCTCGTAACCGGTGGTAGCATCAACCATCTGGTCTATCTTGGGCAGAGGGTAGCTATCTTTAGGGCAGGCTTTGTTGAGGTTGGTATAATCTACACAAACCCACCACTTTCCATTCTTCTTTTGTACGACTACCACGTTCGACAACCACTGTGGATATTGTACTTCTCGAATGAAACCTGCTTGCAATAATTTGTTTACTTCTTCAGCTATAATGCGATTGCGTTCAGGGGCAAACCTTCGGTGTTTCTGCTTGACCGGTTTGAACTCCGGATCCACCTTCAGGCTATGGCAGGAAACTGTGGGATCGATCCCTACCATGTCCGAGTGATCCCATGCAAAGGCATCTGCATTGCTCCGGATAACATCAATTAATGCCTCCTTTTCTTCGGACGTGGAAGAAGAGCCTAGATAAGTAACCTTCTGAGGGTCGCCGAAGATAACTTCCACAGCTTCGAGGGTCTCCTCGGTGGGTTTCGCGATTTCCTCCTCCTCCTTTCCCTTAAGATACTTGGGCAGTGGGCTCTGTAATTGCTATTTGGGTCCAGTTTTGGAAGCCTCACCTGGTTGTTGTTGAGTCGACATCCTCTTCGCCTCAACTTGTGTCAGCATATAGCATTCTTTCGCTGTGACTTGATCGCCCCACAGATTAATTACTTCTTTCTCGTCCAGAGATAAGCACCGCATCACCTAGTGGAGGGTGGACGGAACTCCTTTCATCCGATGTATCCAACATCTTCCCATGATGAGATTGTAAAAAGGATGGATCTTTGTTAAAACAAAGTTCTCCTTTAGAGTCCTCTTCGACGCGGTTACGGACAAGTCTATTACTCCAAGGGGATCTACTCTTGTGCCATCGAATCCCATCAACGGGCTGGAGGTAGGTCGAATAGATGATGACGTGATCTCTAACTGATCAAAGACCATCTTTGTGATTATGTTAGCGCTACTTCCTGGATCTACCAAAACCCTCCTGATCATACAATTGGCCACTAAAAGACTGATGACCAATGGATCCTCGTGGGGGAGTTGCACTCTGGATAGATCGCCATCTCCGAATCCAATACTAATGCTACCAGAATTGATAGCATTGACCGAGGATATCTTCCTGAGCTTGTGGGTCGCCTTTAATCTGGATCTATACACCTCCTTGGACTCTTGATCATCTTCAGACCTGCCATGTATTGCATGGATGACTTTTACTTGCGTACCTTCTACCTTGCGGGGATAGACCTCGCGAGGCTTTGCATGCTCCTTTGTCATGAGGTAATCCGTTAACTCACCTCTGGCGATCATATTCTCCACCTGTCGCCTGAAGGATCGGCAATCGTTTGTTGAATGCCCATAATCTCGATGATGAGCGCAATGCTTGCTTTTGTCCCTTTACTCCAGGGGTTGCTTTATTGGCTGCGGAGTTGTGAACTTTGTCTTATTCTCTTGGAAGAGCCGAGCCAAGGTAGTTCGGAGAGGTGTAAATCCTTCCTCTACCCTTTGCCTTTTTTCAGGTGCCTGGGTGACTGGCATTGAGGAACGTTGGCTTTTTTGAATCTTTGGAGTTGGGATTCTTTCTCGAGGCTTGTTTTCCACTGTCACGAGGGTAGCGTGCTGTGCTCGGTGGGCTATATTTTCTTCAAGCCGAATGTAGATCTGGGCTCTGGCATTTAGAGTCTGTATGTCGGGAGGGGAATACTTGACTAGGGAAGTGTGGAATTTCGTCCCCTGAATCATTACGAGTTTAAATGTCTCTATAGCAGTTGCGGGATGACAATCTGCTATTTCTGATGCCTCCATGTTGAATCTTGATAAGAAATCCTGCAATGTTTCCCCCCTTTTCTGCCTTACGGTAAAGAGGCTGGCAATGCTTTTCTTTTGCTTTTTATTTCCGCAATACTGTGCCAGGAACATGGTGCATAGAGTTACGTAATCCGGGATGGATTTATGCGGTCTATTCTTAAACCACTCTAGTGCTGCTCCTGTCAAACTGGTAGGAAAAACTCTGCACATCCAAGGGTCATTACGATCATCCAAAGCCATCTTTTGAGCATAATGATCTAGGTGCCGAGAAGGATCCCATGTTCCATCAAACTGGGTGAAAAAAGGCATGGTGAATTTCTTGGGCCTCTCTACCAGATACACATCGTCAGTGAAAAGAGTTTTGATCAAAGAATTTTTGTGTTCTCTAGCCATCTCGGCAGGTGTTTGAATCTTCAGGAGTCTCTTTTCGTCAAAGGCATCCTGAACACCTGCACCATCTGGGATTCCATTGGACCACACCGTAAGCTTATGGCTGGATTCGACCTGCTCATCCTGCGTGTGATGAGGGACGTTATCTGAAGCCGCAGCCTCGGATCTTGCCTTCCGTTGCTGCTGAACCTCATTCGGCTAAACCTTATTGGGTCGTGCCCCATTAGGTGGAACCCCATCAGGCAGAAATCCAATAATTGGAGGAATATTCTGACTAAGGAGTATTGCTGTGTCACCCACTGGTGGCGGTGGTGCCAACTGAGCCAGCGTCGTTTGTAGAGCGTTATTCTGCTGTTGAAGCAAGGCAATCTGAGCCATGCTTGCTTCGTTTGCCTGACGAAGTACGTCAAATTGGTGTAGAAACTCTTCACGCATCTTTTGCATCAACTCCATCTGTTGATCTGCTGAAGATCCTCCGTTCGACATTCTGGACGGTTAGCTGCAGGATTCACTTGTAAAATAAAAACAAGAATGGGAATATATTTGCACACGTTTCCCACAGACGGCCCCAAAGTGTAAGTGCAAAATTCTACTCAACCAATAACAATTGAGAAAAATAATACAACACATTCAAGAACAATAAAAATAAATAAGAACAGTGTCTAGAGAAGCGTAGAATTGCTTGGATCCTTTCATTGGAGGTCTGGGCCTCTATTTATATACAAAAGTTAGAAGAATTATGGTAGGACTCACATTGCTTGTCCTCTAATTCTTTCCATATATCAATTTCTTTACAAATAGAATTCTTTCCTCTTTATAATTCTTCCCTTCCGGATTTTCCTTACACAGAACTTATTCCTTTGATGAATCCTTTTCCTTGTAGGACCGGTTCCTTCTTTAAATAGATTTGGGCCGCATCTAACTTGGTACACATGACTGCTAGTGTCTTGATTCGAGCTTTAGTAAAGCCCGTAGTTAGATAGCGGTAGTTTTGGGCTAATGACCAACTCAATTTGGGCTTCTGACGAAATGGGCTTTGACCTTTATTGAAGATAAAGTTATATTTATAATGACGTGGATTGCTCTCATTGGAGGGACATTTTTCCCTCCACACTTCCCTAATTCGTTCTTCTAGCGTAAATTGTGGATCAATTTATATTATATGTGGTGTATTTATTTTCTTGATTTTGGAATTTTCTTTTCCCATTCAGACAAGGAGTCTCATAAATTGGGCTATTTTGTTATTCCCATCCAGATAAGGAGTCACAGAAATTGGGGTGGAAGTATTTTGCTTTCCATTCATTCGTGGGAAGGAGAAGGATATTGAAGGTGCAAAGGTTACTTACATCATCTCCATCCATCTCTATTTTTTACTGGATATGATGTATCGGCTAAAGACACATTGGTGGTTCAGCAGAGTTGATCTTAATCTTGATTCTCCACCGGCTAATTCGTTTGGCCTAATGGTACACGTTGACAAAAATGATTTCAACCATGCCTTAGTCTTAGAAAAAGGTGTTGAATTGAGTAAAACAAAACACCCAATTTCGACCACTGTGTTGTTGTCTGATGACGAAACATACTCATGCTTCTCTCAATTCCTCTCTACTGTCGGAATCACCCTCGATCGTGACCATATATTTCATAGCATTCTCTCTGGTTGTCGAGCCATAACTACTACCGAACCCTTCTCTAGATCCCACACCAGTACGAAGGTAATCACCCGCAATCGTGACCAGCTCTCAGACACAACTGACGATTTATTTAGTAGGATTCTCTCTGGTGACATAGAACAAGTCACTTGTTCTAGCACACCTTTTTTTTTCATAGACATGATGGTTACGTATTATCCGTGGCCGTGGCCGTGGGATGGGGATGGGGAGGTGGATGAGGACGTGGACGTGGACGAAGACCGGGATGGGTTGAAGACCGTACCATGGATAGGAGGTTACATGGATCAATGTATAATTTGTTTCGTCAAGTTTCGAGTTGGTTCTGAAGTCACTCGCATGCCCTGTGATCATGTCTACCATGAAGATTGCATTGTTCATTGGCTGGAGATCAGTAACTTTTGTCCGATTTGTCGCTTCAAGATGCCAACAGCTGAATGATTTTTTATTTTTTATTTTTATTTTTTATCCATTGTAATGGCACTGTAAATTTAATGACATTTTTTATAACATATATAAATCGTCAATTCATGTAATATGTTGTTAATTTTTTTGTTCTTGATTTACTATTCTGTCGTACAGCCTCGCTTCATTCTTAATTTATTCGGTAAAGAAACAAATTGGCATATAGCAAATGAAGAATTTGAGAACTAAGACGATCTCTAATGTTAAAAGCTATTTTTGCATGTTAAATCTATATTTTGACAGGTGCTATTGCGCAATGTTATTTTTTGACATAACTACAATTCTTTTTTAATTACCATTCTCACTATTTATATTTGCATCAGTAATATTAATATTAGGCACATTCTAAGTCAAATTGTAGACATTAGAAGGAAATTAAAATTAAAGCTAATTAAAAAGTAGCAAAAATTTAAAATATCTAGTCAAAAAAGGACCAAAATGATATAAAAGAAAATAAAATTAATATGATCAAAAATTTCAAAATTTATTAAAGGAATTATAGAAAGTCCTAATATGGAGTATATGAAATTCTAATATGGAGTACATGAAATTCCATTATCACTATTTGTGAATTAATTTTATTCATAAATAAAATTAATATTACTGATGAAATTCTAATATTTTGTTTTTTAGGGATAATTTCACTTACCTCCCCTTAGGTTAGGCGTAATTATAGATGCTCCCCCAACGTTTCAAATATTACACCTACCTCCCTTCAATGTGGCCGGCATTATATTCCCATAAAAATTCATGTAAAACTAATATTCCCTCTATTATTAATTCTCTAACAAAAGTAACAATTCTACTGCTGCAAATAGGGACTATGAAAAACTGAACTAGCCACCATAATTGAACCCATAGTCAGAAAATTACACCACCACGACAACCACCGGTCCATACTCCGTCACCACCACAACTACCACCAGTCCCAACTCAGCCGCCGCCGCCGCCACCACCACCACCATTGGACCTGAAATATTAATTATGTTGTTATGTGGTGTTAAAATGAAGTTGTAATGAAATTTTTCTACAAAGCCGCATCTGCTCATGCAAAATACACTCCATAGTTTTTTTTTTTTTTTTTTTGTTGCATTAGTGCTGCAGCTTTATGAAAATATGTATAAGTTGAATATTGTTAATATGTGTTGATACTGTTCTGATTATGCTTTCCTTTGTTATTGTTGAATAAACAGTTCTTGGAAAGCAAAACTAAGATTTACATTGTCCTAGACTATGTGATTGGCGGTGAACTGTTCGACAGAATTGTGAGGAGTTCTTCCAATTGTATAAAAAATTTCCAATGGAAAATCTTTTGGTTTTAGCTCAATTCTTGGATATGACATTTTTATTCTGCTCATGTTTTTATAGGCATCCAAAGGAAAACTATCTGAGGCTCGAGGCAGGAAGTTCTTCCAACAGTTAATTGATGGAGTTAGTTACTGCCACAACAAAGGCGTTTATCACCAGGATCTCAAGGTTTGCTTTTGGCCTTCCCTTAAGAGCATAATATGATAATCCAAGAGTCAAACCACCAAGTACAAGATGATGAATTGCCAGATGATCAATACTAGAACACAGGGCCGGCCCTGAGATTGAAAAAATCTCGATAGGTCCTAGGCGGACTTTAAATGTGAGGCCCTCTATACATAAATGATCTGCTTGCCCTAATTTTTATTTTTATTTTAAGGCCTTTTTTACTACATTTGGTTAGACTTTTTTTTTTTTTTTGGTAGCACATCATTCCTGAGTCTCTTTGCTGTGGTTATAAATTTTTTTTTTGGTGGCCCAACATTCATGGCCTATAAATTTTGATTTGCTGCATTTAGTTGTAAATTTTTTTTTTGTTTTTTTTTTTGGTGGCCCATCATACATGGGCCTATAAATTTAGAGGCCTCTTATATTCTGAGGCCCTAGGCGACCGCCTTGGGCCAGGGCCGGCCGTGCTAGAACATTTTTTTTGTTATATTTTTTTCTCTAATTCTTCTGTGTATTTCTAATGCAGCTGGAGAACGTTCTCGTTGATGCAAAAGGAAACATAAAGATATCTGATTTTGGCCTCAGTGCATTACCCCAGCATTTTAGAGTATGATTTCAATAAATCAAGCACTTCATGACGACGGCTTATTCTTCTGATTTAGTTACTTATCTCTACCTTGAATTCGGGAAATTAGGATGACGGGTTACTGCATACCACCTGTGGAAGTCCAAACTATGTTGCTCCTGAGATTCTTAATAATAGGGGATACGATGGGGCCACCTCAAATACCTGGTCGTGTGGTGTCATCTACCATTTGACGATAGAAATCTTGCAGTTCTCTATCAGAAGGTACATTAATAAAGCTCTTTGTATGTGTGTGTGTGTGTGTTTTCTACTTACATATACAACGCATTTTTATGACTTGGAATTTCATGAACTTTCAGTCTCTAACCCTCCGAGGCATTTCAGATTTTCAAGGGGGATGTCCAGATACCAAAAAGGCCAACCCCAGGAGCACAAAACTTAATAAGGAGAATTCTTGATCCCAACCCTTTTACAAGGATAACAATGGCAAAGTAGACTAATAGTTCAAGCAAGACTATATTCCTGCCAACCCTGATGATGACGAAGAAGATATATATACGTAGATGATGAAGTTTTGTCGATACATGAGATGGTATGAACTTGGATAGCTTGGTTGTTTTTGTCCCGTGCTGGTTTTATTCATTTAATGATTTTGTGTCAAAGCTGATGCAATTTATTTCACTGTTGTAGACATCAGAAGCAGAAAAAAATTCAAAATCACCCACGCTCGTCAATGCCTTTCAGCTGATTGGAATGTCTTCATTCCCCAAAAGAATTGCTTGAGAGGATTGAGAATATTGTAACTCAGACGGGATTTCAAGTCTAGAGGAAAAATGAAAGCGCTCAACTTGCATAGATGAAAGCACTCATATATATTTTTTTTCATACAGAACACTGTTTAAGAAATTGATCCTCATCCCCTCCACAAGCCAGAGTTTGATCACAAAATATGCTATTATTCACGAACCCTGTTTTTAAAAATAAAATAAAATGAAATGATTTACAAGTTCTGTCAATGAGCTTTTTCAATCACGAAAATGATGCCAAGAATTTAGGCCATGGTACTAAAAAGATAACATTTGTGTCCATCTTTGCAGCTTAAGGTGATGAAAGCACAAAGGTCAGAAAAGCCTGAGGACTCTTTCCGTTGCAGCAGAAGTAAGCAATTTTTGAAATTGGGACAAGTTGTTATAGAAGAACTACACACACACATCTATAATATATACTTCGTTGCATGCCGATTTCCAATCGTCTAAACCTTCTAATTTATATCTCAGACAGTATTGGACTTGGTTGTTCATGAACTTAGGCTCGTATTGGCTTATAAATACGTTCATAAACACTAGTTTCGTATGTTCATAAACTTTGGACTTGTATAGGCTTTTATAAATACGTTCATAAACGCAGGTTTCATATGTTCATGAACATGTGTTGATGAACATAGGCTTGTGTAAATGATATAAGGCAAAATGATCAAACTAAGCTCGGATGCCTTCTGTTATTAAACAAGCTTAACCCCAGCAAATTCTGAACTTTTCAAAATAATTAATGATGAGCTGAGCAGCTAATTCCGAACTTTTCAAAATAATTAATGACGAGCTGAGCACGTGCTCTACTTTTCATGCTTGTCACGAAGTCCAGCTGAGCCCACAAATTTTTTCATGCATACATCCATGGAGAGAAATGGACTTGTATGAATGTGTTTGTCAAAATTTTTGTGCTGCCACATTTAAGTACGTTTGTATATTCAAAGCACACATCAAAACACAAAAACATATTTGGTTCAACTTGTAAAGAAGCCATCATGTGAAGATGGAAAATAGAAATAACCTTTCCTTAGACTTAGTTTGGTTAGGTGGAAATAGCAGGAAAGGAAAGGAATTGGAATTTTTACCTCTGCTACCACCTTTGAAACTTCTTATTTACATCAACCGTTTCTCTTAACAGTGGTTTTTACAAGGACAAAGGTGCAAGCAAAGGCTCCAACAATATTTATGGCCTCAGAGGTGACGTATCTGCTCAAAATTGCACTAATTGCACACAAGAGTCTATCAAGGAAGCCTTCCAATACTGCCACACAAAACAAATAACGTCATGGTGTTTCATGCGCTATTCAGATGAAAATTTCTTTGGAGTTTCAGAGAAAGATGGATTGGTTTTGATATTGATGAAATGAAAAAAAATCCTTGAAATAGTAGAAAAAAACTAACTACCAGCATGAAAATTTCATTCATTCATCCAAACATATGCCAAGAAATATGACTAACAACTAATATTTACATAACCAATAGAATGCTTCACTATGATATCGTGCAACATAATAACTTGGCTCATATGTGGCATTCGTCTAGTCGATTTTTGTGCAGCTGAAATGCAGGATTAATCCAAGCTCCACAGTTGCATTGCATACCCGCCCAATTGAAGGAACCTAAGCGAGCTTTGCACCCCATGCACTGAAGCTTATCTCCCACACAGCCTTCTTGTACTGTCAATTCACAACACCGATTACATAAGCATTTTACGAATAACAAATACAGAGTAGAAAATTGAAGTATGATGGCTAGGGCTTGCTTTGACTCACCAGCTTCCATCCACTTCATGGGCTCTACAAATATAGAGGAGCATTCGGGTGGATAATTATTTATTTCGCGGGGATCACTGCTTCTCTTTTTCCATCTAAAGCATTTTTGACCCTCGCCACGATCATGGGGCACTATGTGCTCCTCTGAAGCAACAATTCTTCGACATTTCTTACATCGGTATATAACTTGGGGTTTTGAGTCAGATCCCATATCAGAGTTATTAGGCGCTGCCATCTGCAGGGCTATTTGATACTCCTCGCGACCGATGATCCTATATATTATTCGGTGCAACAGAGACCATAAAAGGGTGAATTTAAAGGGAAAAAATAACCATCGCCAAGCATCTATAATGACAATAACGATAATAAAAGGTAAGGACAACAACAAAGACATCTGAATGACTCAAGCAAAGAAGCATGCAGTAATTGCAAGCGAACCAAAAGGACTGCGGCCCATTTGTTTCAGACTTGCCCTATGATATGAACCTGATATTCATCATTTTGCTTTTGAAATCACAAACAAATGAAGGTGGCAGCAATAACATATTAGCACCAATTTGATGTCACGAACCTTGATGATATTAATAAGGTATGAGTGATACTGGAATAACAATAATCAGGATCCCAACCAAAATCCCTACAATTTGTGTCAACATTAAGTAATGTGTAAAGAATTATGGTAAAACGAATGAGATGTGCAGTTGCATATACTATTTAATTAGATTTTGTAAGACATGCAATGCTATGATGTTGAATTCTATAGGGTGCATTCACCTTATTAGAAAAGTACAATGAATAATTTTGAAATTTTTTATTTTGAAGGAAAAGATAGTATCTAATGATGTTTCTGTAGACTGTAGTGCAAAATTTGCCTAGATGGATAACTTTATCAATTCGCAGCTTAGCAGCCTCTTTCTCTCCTTTGATATGCTAAGCATCCACTGACTATAGATGGAGGCATTGCATTCAATCCTACATCCTCCCTCCAATATTTGCTTTGGGATAACTTTAAATGTGAGGCCCTTTATACATAATGTTTCACACGCGCAGAAGTGCGAAATTTTCATTAAAGTAAATGTGATCGTCTTGTATTTTGCGTTGCAAAATTATCAATTAAAGTGCTCCAATCAAGTTTCTCCAATATATCTTTTTCAATAGATAAGATAGCCAATCCATTCAATCTCTCTTGTGTCATCGTAGACCGCAAGTACGATTTGATTAACTTCAACTTTGAAAAGCTTCAAGTTTAGCATCTCTTGAAAGACCTCTTTCAACTAATAAATCTATCAATTTTTTATCAATCTTTCTCCAATTTATTGGATCATTAATGTTCAAGGGAAAATTGTCATTCTCATTCACATGTTCTTCATTACCGAATCTTCAAGTTCATTCACATTTTCTTCATTTTGATTCTCATTCCTATCTTCATTCATTAAATCTCAATGTCCATTAAGATTTTCTCCATTCCTATGTTCTCTATTCACCAAATCTTCAACTAAACTCTCTATTTGTGTATTGTTTCCAAAAAACTTATGAATAACCCCTTTTTGAGATTGAATCAATTCTTCTACTCTCTTCTTTTTTCCCCCTTTTTTCATGCCCAGATTCAAATTTTCTTGTAAACATAATTGACCCAAAAAAAAAAAAAAAAACACAGAAATAGAAGTTATAGAAATAAAAAAAAAAATATTTGTTTTGCTGAAATAAAATATAGTTTACCTCAATGCAATGCAATGAATTGATTCAGGTTGCTGAAATAAAATATAGATATTACCTCAATGCAAAGCAAAAAAAGTGGTTCATAATTGTTTGACAAAAATCAACAATGTTTGATTCTTCTCATATTTTCCTTAACCTAATTAATCAGAAAAAAGAATGGAGGTTGTAGTCTGATTCTCCATTTTGATTCTCTTTAATTTTTTAGTTTTTATTTTTTTTTATCACATGAGCAATAATTGGTTACAAGAAAACTTTGTAATTTTCCTTATTGTTCATCAGTGCTGTTTTTATGATTTTATCGTACTATATATAATATCTATATAGTTGGAACACAACCATTTACACTTGACATATAATTATATAAATAGCAATCCTAGCAAGGCTGAGATCTTCATAATCAGAAAAAGAATGGAGGTTTTAGTGTGTACGGAAGATTGAATTCTTGAGTATCCAATTTATCCTGCCTTTTTTGTTCTAAGCCTCTAAGGTAAGGGGAAAATCTCATTTCAAGATTCCCATAAATTTTCAAAATTCTATAAAAGACCAGACCAATGAAATTATATTCAAATTGATCAAAAAGGAGATAAAGGATTCCATAAACACACGGAATCAAAAAAAAAAAAAAAATCAATTTCAGATTGGAAAAAGCCAAAAAGGAACCCAGTACCATAAATTGGATGCGTTACTTACTTGTAATGTTTTCGGCGCTGCTCCTGATGAAACTGAACCTAATCTCACAAATACAAACCCAAATCTTATCCTTCCACTACGAGCCTTCGAGGAGCGACAGCCGACAGGAGCCCTAGAACACAGATCGTTTTTTCAATTTTTTTTTTCTTAATTCGAAAATCATAAAATTAAAAAATAAAAAATAAAAAATAAAAAAAGAATCAACTAGAGAAAGCAACAAAAGAATGGAGATGGGTTAAAAGTATAAGAAAACCTCCAAGTCGGTCGGATCAATGGTCGAAGCTGGTGGAGAATCAGTGTAGTGAGCGAACAAAGCAAATCCCAATTAGAGTTCAATTTATAGCATGTCTCTCCCGTCCTCAATTTATAGCATGTCTCTCCCCTCTTCCATTTATAGCATCTTTATAGCATCATCGTTTCTGTTGTTTCCTATTCCTTTGGTACGCAGGTTTTCGTTTGGGCCGCTGTTAGTTTTCTATTTGGGCTAAAGCCCTACATCTAGGCTGATCAGGAATGAATGGGAGTCAGCAATGAATCGATAACCCTTATCAACACTCATGATGGGTAATAAATGAATTCGGTAATAATTGGGCTAGTAAATTCACACCCAACCCGATTACTCGAATATTTTTCAACACAAATTATTAAATTATTTTTGTCGTCGAATACAAAAATAAATTAAAAAAAATAATCGTTCGTGTAGCAATTTTTCATTTACTTTTTGATATAACTTGTTACAAATAACAATTTATTCTGCCAATAATATTGGGATTTTTACATATAAATGGGCTTAAGACCCATATTTACTCATTGATTGAGTCAAAGTTTGACAATTTCAAAAAAATGAATTTGACCCAAAAGATGACATGGCACATGAAGATTTACTGTTTCAAATTTGTGTTGTCTAAAATGCCCTTCTCCCTATTTTCTGTGTTGCTTAAAATGCCCTTCTCAATATTCCAATACATTTTACTCTATTGGAGCTCTAACCCTTACTCAGAATCTCATTCGTGAAGAGCCCTCTCTCTCTTTCTCTCCCCCCATCTCTGTAACAACGATTTAAGCATGGCCCTAACCCTCATTCGTGCGTCCTCTCTCTCCCCCTCTCTGTAACCCAACGAAGCAGCAGCCCCACTTCTCCACTTCGTCTCTGTGCTTCTGTGAACTAGTAAGTACTCTCTCTCTCTCTCCCTCACACACACACTCGTTTTGGGTGGATCTCCCCCTACCCGTTTTGAGCACCTTATAGTTTCAGTAATTTGCTCAACTGATTTACCATATCTGTAACAACCCTAAGCTGATCCCATTTATAAAAAATAAAAATAAAAATTCGACATGACCTCCCCTAAAAAAAGGGCCTACCACAACCTGCTCAAATAAAAATAAATAAATAAAATGCAATGGTCTTTCAAGACCTATCCAACCTGTCCCAACACACAATACAAATAATATATCCCAATATCCCATTCATCCGTTCATTATACCTTAACATGGTTCATCTCATGGTGGAACATCCATATACCATTTAATCCAAATTATCATAATTAAAGTCCATGAATATTACTATAATAGCAAGAGTCTACAAATCTCTATACTAAATATGACAAAATAAGGTTTTACAAAAAATATAGGACTTAGATACAAAAATAGCAAAATAATCTTTTAATCCAAATTAAGCCTGTGGTGGTACGTCATCCGCCACTTCTTTCCTGTTTCCTGATAAATATTAAATAATAGGGTGAGCAAAATTGCTCAGTAGGTGGTACCTAAAACACACCTCTTGTGGCCCCATGAATTCACACTATGAATAGGAATAAAGAAATTGGGATCATACTATATCGAGAAAGAATATAACCACCATGCCACATCATTAATCCGATACCACAAATGAATATGCCATATAATGATATGTCATGCGATGTAATGCCACTCCCCATTTTCCAAAACTATTTCCATTATCATTTTCAAACCGTTAGTGAACCCGTCCCATGGCAACTCCATGGCAGCACGAGAGGAGGATCGGTCACTGTCCCTGACCCATGGCAACTCCATGGCGTCATTTGGTGTAATTACCCAGTCATTTTCTTCCTTTCCTTTTTCCTTAAAATTTTACTGATGAATTTTTTTCGTTGAAATTCCTTTTCTAAGTTCGGTTTCTCGTCGTTTAGTGTCGTCTCGAGTGCTCAGAAATAATTTCTGAAACTCTTTCCTTTGGATTGACAACTTCCTTTGAGGACCGAGTCATTTCCACATTTTTCTTTTTTTTTACACTATTCACTTTTCGTTCTTTTCCCTATTTTGTCATTTTCCCTATTTTGTCTTTTCCCAATTTGTCACTTTGTTGGCAAAACCTCACTCCTTGTGTTCAGAGTTGGTTTTTGACTTCACATATTTTTATTCTAAGTGGTTTCTATGAAATACGTATCTTTACTTTTGCAGAAAAGTACTTTGGTTGCTCCATGTGTCCATAGGGGCATGGATGCATAGTTTTTCAGAATCTTTTTCTTTTCTTGGGGTGATTTTCGTAAATATCTTTTGAAGATATTTTATTTCAGGGGTTTTTAAGAAAATATTTTTGGAAGATATTTTCATTTTGAGTCATTAGTGCAGTTTTCACTTTTTAGAGGGGCCATTGTGTAATTAATGAAAGTTATTACAAAATACCTCGTCTGGAGCCTGGATCCTCGTACGGGATTTATTTTCAGATTTCGTCGAGTCGTGTACTCTTAGAAATTCCTTCTGATCGTTTTTCTCCAGTTTCAGGGTTTCTGGCCCCAATTACTACTGAACTTGTTCAAGGCATATCTTTATGCTCAAGACTCAGTTTTTGACACCGTTTCTTCCATTGTTCATATTTTCTCATTTTGAACCTTTTTTATACACGGATTTTTGCCGTTTGAGCACGTTTGCTCAAAATCCACTTTTCCGGACCCGGCGGGACCCGTTCGGGGCACTTTTTGAGATTTTCTATAAATAGGGGGACTTAATATTTAAAAGTCATCTTCTCCCCTCTCCATGCACGACCAGAACCTGCTATGGTAGCCCAAGGGGGCTGCCACCCTTCTTCTTTCATTTGAACTTTCTTCCCTTTGTTAAAAAGTCGAAATGCCTTCGTGTTTTGTGTTTGTCTTGACCACACGCATCTTTCCCCCTTATTAGAACCCGTTTTTGGCCAAATTTTGAGTTCAGGTTTGAAGTCAAGTTGTGATTTTGATGGGACTTCTTGTGGGTTCATGTAGATCGTGTTGTCCCCGACAAAACCCTTCGGTATCGTCGGATTCGGAGCACTTTTTTTTCGGTGGACTTTTGAGATTTTCATCTCAAATTGAGGTAGGGGATGTTTTACGGTTATATTAATGTTGTATTGATTGTTATATGAGCATATACAACTTGTGAGCATGCCTTGTTCAAGTTATAGAATTTAATTTAATTATTTTCTTTGTTTAAGATTTAATTCTCATGATGCTTGGCAACTTCTAATTAAATTGTGGCATGCTAGAAATTTAGGCCTTGGTATGGTGGTTGATATATATTAAATTGGGGTTATTTGAATAAGAATTGCAAATTTTATTTAATATTTATCTTTTGTGAAAGTTTAATTCACCTAGTTGTATCAAGCATGGAATCAAATTATAATGTGATATTAAAGTAGGCCTTGGTGAGTTCTTTAACATATATTAAATTGAGGACATTTAGATATGTTTGAAAATCTAGAGAAAATTAATTAATTAGCTTAATTAATTTTATTTTTAAGTATTGTAGTTATTTAAATTGATTTTGGGTATAATATATGTGAAGGCTATGCTATGTCCCTTAACATATATTAATTTGAGTTATTTGAAATTAATATGAAATCTAGAGACTTTTCATGTTAGGTTGAAAATCCCTTTTAATGTAGTGAAATTAATTACCTTGTGAGCATATTACTAATTGGATGTAGAATTAGTACTTGGAGCCTCTTAAAATGGTAATTGAACTTAGCATGATATAGAATATCATTAACTTGTAAAGTTTGTTTAAATATATCTTGTGTAGGTATATAACTTGTTAGAATATTACAATTGTTTACCTTGAAAGCTTGTTACTAAATTGAAGCTTATTTAGTACTTGTGGCTTAGGATAGTAATGTGACTCAATTGTTGTAAAATATTCTTGCTTTGTATGTAAATTGCATATTGAGAACATGACATGTCATAAGTTATTTAGACTTGAACTCTAGAACATGGTTTGTGTGAATTCAGCCTTATTTGTGCATGTAAATTGATTCCTAGACATTATTTGAGATGTATAAGTTTGGTTTAACTTATTAATTTTGCATAAGTTTTGAACTTATTGTTTTTGGAGGCTTGTAAGGATCACACTCATGTGATGGTTAAGGTTTGGCCCTAGTACGGATTCGTAAGTCTCCTAAGTCATATGAAGTACGCAATATGTAGTACCTTGTGGGTCGTAATTACCCGGAATAACTTATACACGTGCGCACTAGGTAGTACCTTACGGGCTAGTAACCCGGAATAACTCGATTGGTCTGCAGCCAAGGATCGTAGTCTTTCCACTATTTGATTTCGTATTTAATTTCAAGTTGTTAATCATGGATTACTTATAGCTTGAAAATTAATGCTTGCATTGGATATTTGAATCTTATTTAGTATACTTGAAACTGTATACTTGTTTTGTGCATTTAGATCTCATATAGTGTACTTGAACTTGTATGATTGCTCTGTGAGTTTAGATTTCATTTAGTATGCTTGTGCCGTGTATACTTGTCTTAGGCATATCTCTCTTAGCTTAGTATACTTGTGTCGGTATACTTGATTTACGAGATTTTCATATAAAAATGCATACTTATGTAAATATGCTTAGACATTGCATGACTTGTCTTAATATGGTTTAGTATACTTGGAAATGTATGCTTGTATGTCGTATAACGTGTTTAACATTGTTTAGTATACTTGAGCATGTATACTTGTATGCCGTTGTTCACCTTAAACTGCATGGGTAGCTTAGGATGCTCCCGGAGTCTCATTTCGATGTAGACGTTAGGTGACATAAGCCCCTTTGACATGTTTCACCTTAAGGTGATATAATTGTAAATTGCTAGGTCGATGCATGCTCATCTCCTATGAGTAGCTTTATGTTACTCACCCACGTAGTGGGGACATTTTTCAAGTACCAAGATCAAGATTTGGGATTCACAACATGCTTGGATGATTTGTAGACTTGAAGTTCTCATTTCATGTAAATGTTAGCTTGAAATGCCATTTATAGCTTTACATGTCAAAATGTGTAAATTTGATTCTATTTTTGTAATGTGTACATAAGTACACTCTTTACAATGTATTTCACATGTATGAGATGAGGCCATAGGCCAATGACGTCTAATTTGTATCCTATGTAACTTTTAACTTCATGAAATATTATGAAAATATTAAAAAATGCCGAGTCATTGCTTCACTATGCTTGCATCGGGTGTGGGAATTCCATTTTTATTCTTTCATAGGG